CGCAGTGAATAGGAACAATTTAGATTTTCTGCGAGCATACTTTTCAACCTAAATTGAACAGTCAAATATATTTGAGCGAGCGATTAAGTGAACAACGATTTTTTGATGTTTTAAATAATTTTTATCATTGCTATGGCACAAAAAAGAAAATATTCAGAAAGATGTAAGTATAAATTTATTTGATTTTTGCATTCAGATAAGTATATGTGTAATTCGATGGATGTAAAATTAAATTATTTATGAAAACCGTAAATTTTGTGAATTTATCAAGCCAAATTCTAAATTTTCGAATATATTTAAGTCTTTATTAAAAAAAAAACAAGGTTTGTATAGCTATACAGATCCCAACGACTGCCAGCACATCCGCCCACACAGTCCATTAAGCACACCCAAGTTTGAGTGATCTACAAGTTACAAGCGTTTTCAACATTTAACAGTTCATTATCATGTGCGGTGTAATATAACAAATTATACACTGAACTATGATAATCTATACTAGTATCTATAATAATAGACAAAAATTTGCAATGTTTTTACACTTTTGCAATAGTTTCGGGCACTATTACATAGTCATGACTTGTGCCACTATGCCATAGTACAGTTTGTGCTCCCTTTCATACCAGAATAATTGTGTATACAACTCTGAATCAACAAAATTCACGATCCTTCTTATTATCAACCCTGATCAGATTTTACCCCCGAGAAGTACTCAAAAAGGTTTATTACTGTATATACTGTGGTTCACAGCAATGACTTCATACTGTTTAGATGGAAATGAGTATACTCATGCTGTTGTCTGATATGTACATGTGTATAAGCACACTAAAGCCGTCATCGATTCGCCAACAGTTAGCGAGTGGCGAAACGAACGTGCAACTGGCATAAATATATTAGATTGGAAGTACTGAAAAAGAGCTGTCACAAATGGCATATGTTGGGAAGCACTTAATGAATTGCTTGGAAGCACTGAATTATTTGACAGTTCATAAAGTAAACAAAACAATATTTTATGTGTATACATACAACGAGAATCTTTTGTAATTAGTTACAGAAAATTGAGAAGAATTTATAATAAAAACGCAAAAATGGACAACGAGCGACTAGATTTGGTAAGAAAGTGCTATTTTTTGTAATTATCATGTATTTAGTCAAAAATAACATTTCAGATTTCCCAATTCCTACAAAATGAGGAAGAGCTCATGAGCGGGAATGCTGGTGTATTGGCGATGTTAAACAGCTTGCCTTCGAGCTCCAGCTCGGAATCTTCCTCAAGCTCTGATGAATCGGAACGGGAAGAAAGGAGCAAATGTGAGAACTTTTGTGAAGTCATTGAAGGTTACAACGAAAATGAATTCAAAACCCACATGAGACTACGGCGTTCAACTGTAGAGTTTTTAATCGGTACATTGTTGACATATTTAAGTTTTGTTGTTCATGAAATAACTATTTTTGTTTTTTTTTAGAGCAGTATGCAAGCAGTGCCGAGCCTTGAATGAACTATGGTGGAAGAGAAAGTGTTCCACCAAAGAAAAAGGTGTTTATTTATATATGGTATATAAGCAATACCGTCACATTTCGACAGCTTGCAAATTTGTTTGGAGTGTCTTCGTCAACCGCTTGGGCTGTTGTTAAAAGTGTGTCAGGTTGGCTTATAACAATTGGCCACGAATATATAAAGTGGCCGCAAGGTACTGCAGCAGAGGATGCAAAAAGAAAATTTGAGTCAAAGAGTGGTTTGCCGGGAGTAATCGGTGCCATAGACTGTACTCATATTTGTATTAAAGCTCCAGAAGAAAATAAAGAAAATTACTTCGATAGAAAGCACACCTATAGCCTAGTTCTTCAAGCAGTAGTGGATGCAGATAAAAGATTCACCGATGTAACTTGTGGTGAGCCTGGTTCACTTCATGACAGTAGAGTTCTTCGTAGGTCAAATCTTTTTGCTACAGCGCAGTCTGAACCTGAAAGTTTATTTCCGAATGACTCATTCATTTTGGGTGATTCGGCTTACCCCGCTACAAGTTGGTTGGTACCTCCATTTAAGGACTACGGCAATTTGAGGGAATCGCAAAGAAACTTCAACAAATTACACTCTTCTACTCGAATAGTTGTGGAAAACGCTTTCGGCTTATTAAAAACTCGCTTTAGAAGGTTACTACATTTTACTGAGCAAACAAATTTATGTTTTGTTGTCAATATAATTGTTAGTGCGTGTATTCTACACAATATATGTATAATATTTGATGATTTAAATATTGGATTTGTTCAGAACGAAATGTCGGAACACAATTTGCAAGATGAACCTATTGAAGACAATTACCATGCAAATGGGAATAGACGAGATTTATTGTTCGAATATTTGCAGAGCATAATTTGATTTAAGAAAAAATACCCTNATTTGATTTAAGAAAAAATACCCAACATTTTCTGTCTTAAATTTAATCAAAAATCCATTTTATTAAGTTAAATAAAAGAAAAATATCACATTCATTGGAAAAAATACTTAAGGTAAATAAAAATCAAAATGCAAAATTAAATTAATCTCAAAAAAAAAATCATTTGTTTAAATTTTTAAGTAGTTCAAGTTTTTTCATTTCTACTTCTCTCATCATTTCCACTACCGAATCGTGAAATCTTTTCTTCTCCTCTAACTTCCTTTCTTTTAATATAAGTTTTTCCTCATAATATCTTTCTCGAGCTGTTTTCTTGCGACGTTTTGATATTACTGGTTGTGGCGATTCTGCTTCTTGGGATGGTGGTTGTTGCGATGATTCAGGATGTGGGGATGTAGGTGGGGACGGCGATACAGCCGGTTGTGGCGATATTGGTTGCGGACGTAGTTCTGTGTATGGGAATGTTGCTGCAAGGTGGGATGTTGTTGGGTGTTGAGATGCTCGTGGAATTGGGAATGTTGTTGGGTACGCAGATAGTGCTGATGCTGCATGTGAAACTGCTGGACGTTGGGACGGTACTAGGAGTAGGGATCTTGATGACTGTGCTGTTGGACGGTGGGGCAGTGTGGGCTGTGAAAGTGCTGTCGGACGTGGGGGTAGTGCTGGTTGTGCGAAATCTGCTTGTTGAGGTGGTGGTGGCGTTCCAAGTGGCTGTGCTCGACAACGACCCACATTAAGCGTGTGGTTATTGGAAAGCAGCGCACTGTTTCCGAAAATCTCCTCCATCTCATCCATGTACGGAGCAATGCATGGTGCGGCACCGGTTCTGCTTGCGTTGTCTTTTGCACACTTGTATGCAGACAACAGAGTGCGCATCTTTCCTTCTAAGGCTACTGGGGTCGTCGATGGATCCTAGATAATTTTTTTTTGTTTAGATTTGTACAATCCAAAATTACACTTCAAACTTACGGTGAAACCTTGTGTCACCATGTCTTCCAAGACGTGGGCATAAGCATTTCGCTTTTTTCTAGCATGTAGGAACTCCTCCTTTCTTGCCAAGTAGCATTTCAGCAATCCCTTGATTTCTGCTACGGTCCACACCTTCCGTTTTCTGCAAAACAATTTTATTAGTTTGTAGTAATAAATATTTAGAAATCCACAATTAATTACTCACGATTTGTCCTCCGTTGCCATTTTTATTCAAATATTCTGTTTGTATAACAATTTTTCGTTTGTACCGCTTGACAGTTCACATTTCAACTATTCACAATAGTAAAACTCGTCTAATATCCTCGGAAAAACTTGGAAACATTGAGTCCGGCGAGAAGATGGCGAATTAATGAGGTATAACCAAACTCGCTATCGTCCATATTTGCTAGCTAACTTTGTTGTTTCTTTCGCATGCAAATTTTTCGTTAAGCGACTGGAACTCAATCATAGCGAGCAGCGAAGTGGCGAATCGATGACGGCTGAATTAGTTTGCTCGATTTGTAAACAACATTTCTCAGCGGTGAAAATTATACTATTGTGAGCAACCTAAACGAGCGAAATTCACAATAGCGCTATCACAGCATAGACAGTAATGCCATGTTCTGACCGACATCGAAAACATGTTTTCGTTGCTAAAACTGGTTTTCGACCTAAAACTTGTGTTTTCCTCCATGTAAAATCTGTCAAACGAAAACCAGTTTTCGCTGAAAACTACTTGAAAACTCACGTTCCACTCATTCCAATCGGTGTCTTCACTAGTTTTTTTCGATTATTTATCGAAGTGGAAGTCATATTTTATCATCTTTAATACGCCATTTCGGATTTATTGTTAATTGGCTGGCCAAAGTACAATAAGAATGAAAGTAAGAGGTTGCTAATGAAAAGAAAATGAGGGAAAAGCATTTTGGTTTGCTTTTTGCGTAGCGAAACTGTAATCAGAGGATGTAAGAAATGTCAACGAAAACACTAACAGCCGGTGTGAACAGTCTTCAGCCCGCAATCCCAAAACTCGTTTTCAAAGTGTTTTCGTTGTCGGTCAGAACATGGTATTACCAACCTTTTTGGGTTGTTGTAGTAGTAGTCGTTGTTGTAGTTATATTCACTCCTGAGGAAGGCACGGGGCTGTGTGCTGCTATTTACTGGCCTTCCTGCGATTTTTTCTTAGATTTCAGGGTTGTGTGCTGCATTATTATTAGATAAACAAATTTAAGCACTTGACAAAATTTTATTAAAAGAAAATTATAAATGGTGTTGAAAAACCAAACAAACGCTCGTGCGAAAGCTCTTTTTGTGTGTTGTTAAAATTTATACATTGCGTATTGATGGTAATACAAGCAACGTATTCTTTTGTGGATTTTATGTTACATGAGAATTTAGACAACGTGCGAGTTCCCAGGTTCTGTTATCAATATAATTAACACAAGCTTTTCAGCGTGGTTGCCTTTCAATAAATAGAATAAACAAATATTCGCAAATAAATTGGGTTTATTTTATAACTGACAACTATCGTACGCTTTTTGTTCTTTTCTCATTTTGATTTTGACTCTTTATTACCGCCAACCACTTTATGTGTATACATGTTTACAAGCTGTCAAAATTTTGCGTAGTCCCACGAGCTAGGTAAAAACTATGGCATTGGTATTCACAACGAGAAATCTCAAAATTTTTGTTTGGTCTTTCCAAATTTTCTCTTTTTTATCAGTTGGCAAAAGCCCTTAATGGCAGCGCTCCGAGCGCTGAGATAGTAATTTCATGTCAATTAGTAGAAAAGTTCCATGTTAAAAAACCTTTTTATTATGGCGAGAAAATTTTACATTTCTGCTGTGCCAATTCGTAACTTTTTACAGCTGGAAATTTTTTACAGTTGCTCTGGTGCAAAAGAAGTTGAGCAATTAAAATCAGAAATTATACAAAAAAGACTTGCCTTTACTGACTTTTATTCTTCTAGACGCCTTAGTAATAAAATTAGAACAAACAAATTCTTCAAAACCGTCAAGCCGTCAGGTCATTCACCTCATAGTTAAAAAAAAATTTACAATCCGTAGTACTTTTCTATCAATTCGCAAATGCCGTTTGCACAAAAAAGGTTATGAAATGCATTGTATTTAAATCGTTTAGAAAATGAGTCATTTATGTATACCATTTTATGTGGAATTATTCAATAAATTTCGTTTTACACTATATTTTTTGAAACAATTTGGAATTAATTATTTTTTGTTTCTTAAAAGAAACCCAGCGTGCTTGGAAGGCGTGTGTACCAATAATTTCATCCCTAGCATATTCATCCCCGAGGAAGGCAGTCGCCAAATTCACCGAAGGTTGTTTATTGGCATGATGCAATAATACAAGGTGGTATCAATTGTGACAGCTCGATTTGACACTACCTTACCTCAGTAGAACGAGAAGAAAAACGGGAAGAAATTAAGCTCCATTTGGGGGAAAAATATAAAATTTCACATTTTTTCCTAAACAAAATTTGCTTTTTTATAGTATATTCGTAATGAAATGAAATAAAATTAAGGTAAAATCCCTTTTTAAGAAAAAAATGTGTATACTGAGAAAAAAAAAAATATTCATCTATATTATTAGGCAAAGAATTGTTAAAGAAGTAACACTGTCTCATCTAAGGCAGTCAATATGGCGTAATTAGAGCGAGAAGTTGCCAACTGATAACACCTGTATTATTGCATCATGGTTTACTGGTTATATTGTGGCGCTATTCTTCACCGAATGAGTGCCATAACACCAAATGAAAATTCGTTCGATCAGCACTTTCGACCACAGTCGAAGATCGAATTCAACTCATAATAGGGGCCTGTATAAAATTTTTTTTTGAGATTGGAAATGATAATGTGTGTGTGAGTTTGCGAGTAAATTTCAAAATTTAAATGCTTGGAAACGTCAAAAAAGCTAAAAGTGTCTCAGCGGTTCTACCTTCCTATATATTTATCATGTTTGTACTTACGAAATTTTAAGTCTGTGCATCATGATAAAAAAATTTGAAGGTAAAACCGCTGAGAGGCAGCCTAAACATTTTTGAAGTTTGCTTACATAAAAATGTTTAAATTTTTTATTATGGCGTATTCATATTTATATCAATAGTGTTATTGAGCTTTGTACCACGATTTGTTTGTTAGGAAAAATGGAAAAAACAACAATGCTTAAGCGGTAGAAGTTATAGCAGCTATTTCTGAGATCACCACATCTCATCAGACTTATTTTTATTCTAGACTTTTAGCAGGGATCGAACCCGCGTCATCGATGTGCAAAGCACAATATAACCAGTCAACAACCTTGGGTGAATTTGTTGACTGCCTTCCTCGGGGATGAATATGCCAGGGATGAAAATATTGGAACCCACGCCTTCTAAGCACACACGATCCAGAAAATAAAGGTCGCGCCATTCGCGGACCGCTAACTCTCTCTTCGTCGATTTGACAGCATCCACCCAATCGCTGACGTCATAATATACTTTTGTTTACATTCACTGTTTCCAACTTCATGCTTTTCGCACCAAATTTAGTGGGTATTCAAAACGCGAAAATTTTTGAGTTTTGTGCTTGGTGCGATTTTGGTGCTTTTGTTTTTAGTTTGAAGACTTCAAATTAGAAAATCTTAAAAAAATGGAAGCAAAATTTACAGCAATCGTAAGTGTGCTAAGCAATTTTACAAAAATTTAAACAAAATCATGGCACAGTGACAATCATAAGCGACAACAAAATATGTGCAGCACCTTCAATCGTGCCAGAAGAAATCGACCGTTGTGCAAGAAGCATTGATTTTTGTTAATTTGAATCGGCATCCTTACAATAAAATTATGTATTCACATAAAGTCCATAAAATACACCAATAAAAATTTGGTGCTTTTTCAAATTCAAAACTTAGCAATACTGCCTTTTGTTCGACGCTTCTTCTTTTTCCTGTCGAGTTCGTCTTGCTCTCTCATTCTGGTATATTTTGATGTCACTGCCAGTGGCGCAATATTGTATTCTATCATTCTTGCTAAGCACGCAGGGTTGCTTTTGAGAAACAAAAAATAATTAGCTCAAAATAGTTTCAAAAAGTATAGTGTAAAACGAAGTTTATTGAATAATTCTACGTAAAATTATATACGTAAATGACTTACTATGTAAACTATTGGAATAAAACTTGTTTCATTACCTTTTATGTGCAAAATGAAAACGATAATCTGAACGCTCGAAGCGCTGCCACTAAGGTTTAAGGCCATGGTTTATAAACGCCCGATCTGGCTGGCTTAAACTAAGATCAGCCAATCAGATGTCAGCCAGCTGGCACTGAAAAACTGGGCCTAAAATGAGCAACTACAGAAAAAATACTTCTGGTGTTACTGCCGCCGTGGCGAATAAATGTTTCTATTTATTTTTCTTCTGTTTACGCGAAAAACAATGCAGGTAATAGTTTTCGTTGAATTTCATCAAGAATCTGTACATTTTATGCTTTTGTTTCATAATTCCTCGAATTTTAAGTGTTAGCAAGAACAAGCAGAGCCGAGCAAGAATCACACCTACCTGACGGTTTTGAAGTGTGTGAGCAACTGTCCAAAATTTCCAGCAGTAAAAAGTTACGAATTGGCACAGCAGAAATGTAAAATTTTCTTACCATAGTAAACGGCTTTTTTCACCATAGCACTTTTGTACTCATTAGTACAGGCCCAGAGTAATACAATGTTTTAAATTAAAAAATAATAACTTTATCACTTCCTTAAAATTTTAAAGTTTGTTTTGCTAATCTCTTTAATTATTAGAGCATTATATCATTTTACTATTTTATTATTGCTTAGTACAAAATGTACACATTTACTTACCAAACCTTTATTTGATTCGGTGATGGAAACAAGACCGAAGGATACTTAAGTATTTAAATATTTATTATGATTATTTTATATTGCTGTACATAATTTTTTAGATTTTAGCATTAATATTTTGGATTCATCTTATGTATTTGTTTAATTACTGCAGCGTTTATAATTTTCTTTTAATAATATCAAGATATATGAAATGCTTAAATTTATTTACCTAATAATAATGCAGCACACAACCCTGAAATCTAAGAATAATTCTGAGGAAGGCCATTAAATAGCAGCACACAACCCCGTGCCTTCCTCAGGAGTGAATATGGCTACAGCAACAACGATTACTACAGCAACAACCCAAAAAGGTTGGCTACTGTACCCAATCGACGTTAGCCCCCATTTGTGAAAATATTAAAATTTTTGTATTGCAATAGTTCGTCGATTGTTCTTTAATGTTCGTCCATTTTTAACGTTTGTTCGTTAGCCAACAATTTATAATTAATTTTTCAATTTTCCCTTTACGTAATTCCTGAAGTTAGCACCCGCAACAGATTATTTTGGGTTAATTTTTATTGCA